TAGTTTGAAAAGCAAGTAATAAGAAGCTGAGAAACAGTCAGAAATTGCTAATCTTAATCATCCATTTTCTCAAAAGCTAAATGTACCTTTTTAATAATTTCCTTTTCCACATAAGGTACGCCAATTCTAAACGTGCATCCCTTGCCGTATAAAATATCGTAAATCACTGGAAAGAGCCGTGGAAAAACTTCGGGACTTAAAAAATCCCTAAGAACAGGGTGGAACACTTTAGCAGTTTTGAAAATTTCAGCAGCAAAACTTAAAATCCATTTTGCCAAGTGCAGATGTGAAAGGTGATGAATTTCACAAGGTAAAGCAGCCATTAAGTATTTTAAAATTTTTTCATGATCAAAACTTTCCAAATATGTCACTGGATTTTTGACGTACGCACGTAGTAGAAAATTGGACAAGATTTCTGTCCATATACCATCAGAATAATCTGCAGAAAAAGAATGCATAGCATTTTTGGACAGGTCAACCATTATTTTTTCATATGAATTTATCTCCTCTGATCTCAGAACAATGAATGACGGGGCAAAGGGGATTTCCAACATTGCTGATGTGTGAACCGTATAACATCTGTCTTTAAATTCTTCAGCGATTCCACCATCTACCCATTTATGGCCACGTATCATTAGATTGCAGCGCAAGTAATAAAACGCTTCTCGTAAAGCTTCTTCGTTAAACGTATAAGATACTCCTCGTGGCGATGGAACAAAGAGCCTACAACAAACATATCGCCTTAGAAGACGAATTTCTTTTGCAGTTACAGTTCACTTTACAATTACGCTTAAACGTGAAATTTTTAAATATTTAAACTCAAAAAATTTCTGCTTACTCTTTTTGATTAGGCTCGGGATCAGCCCACAGAATATCCGTTAAAAGACAGTTTTCCAAGAGTTTCATATTTCTCAACCTTGTAGGCCGCGGTATTTTTCGTATAGCGTCTCTTGATATCATCCATGGTGAGATCCCACCGTGGCAACAAAATGCTTGATCTGTGCTGTTGAAATGCAACTATTTCTACTGTTACGCAGTGACGATTTGATTTGAATTCCAGCAGACACATTTTTGCAGAATTCATTTAATATTTTCACTAACTTTTTTCTTATCACCTCAATAAAATTGTTGCTTTTAATGGTTCCCAAACTACAGTGATAAAAACCAACTTACTGTTGACAATTGCTGCAACAGGCATATTTTCAAAAATTTGATTAAATAATTTGAAAATCAATCTGTCGTTATATGCATCCATACACTGAAATATCCTATTTTTTACCGAAACAAAAGATCGGTTATGATAGCCTCAAACAACACTATTTCTATCTGTCAAATATTACTAAGAAAACACTCATATATGTCGTTTCTTTAATTTCTTGTTTTATGGTCAGTGTGGGTTATTTGAAAAGTATTTAAGTTTTAAAAAAGGCATTAAAATATACGGCTCTTTCAAATCCGTCATCTTCGCTTTGATCTACGCATTCATGATTTCCGCGCAACATATATACATAAGTTGGCCATCTGAGTTTCATTAACAATACAATAAGGAAAACATCTAACTGACATTCACCTCTACCCACATAGTCACCTACAACTGCTATAAATAATTAACTCTTTGATTATTTTTTCTTCAGTTACACTGACGATGAGTGAACGACAACGATCTAGACGGGAGAATACGACATACCCAAAAATAAAAAGTGGCTTCTTGGTGGTATTCCGCTCTCATAAATAACACCAATTAAATCATTTACGTTGCCATGAATATCCCCAACAACAGAACATTTACTAACAAAGTCAAACTCAATAAGCATTGGTTCTCGAGACAGCAGTTCCGTACCGTATAGTAAATACTGTAAAGTATCAAATTTTGCAAAAATTTATATTTTTCACATTTTCTTGAAGTGACCAGTGCTCTATAAAAGTTAAATTTACGTTCCTAAATAATTTTATACTTGTCCAAAAAATGTTCACTTGCTTTAATAAAAAGGGTTTCGGAAATAAGTTCTCCAATTCGCTTTCTGCGCGGATACGGTTGCCGAAGAAGTATGCTGAGACCGTCTTCGATATCTTTTTGTGTCAATTTTTCGCTGATGTTTTGTGCTTGGGCTATAAAACTGCTATAATAATTTTTTTTCTAATTATTCTAGCTTTCGTGCCAAAATTTTTGCACAGATGTCAATTACTCTGACGACAGTTTCTCTGGTGCAACTTTTTTTTTTGCGAAATCTAAGAATTACTTAGTTGAAACATTAAATAACGAAAAGTAAAGCAAAAAATGTTTAAATAAAGCAAGAAAATTTTTTTCATTAAAACGTAATTTTCTTTGCTCCTGACAAATGCAGTTGTCTTCACTGAACGTTGTCAAATTTCCTCTTGGGGAAATGAAAAGATATTATATTACAAGAAAAGTGGCTATAATTATATAACTGAATACTGTGTGTCCAAAGCATAAAATTTCAATTACCACTATTACAACACTGAAATTTTTATATGCCGATAAAATTGAAGCTTTTTGGTTTATAATGTATGATTCTTAGTTATAAAAAACCGTGAAATTTTGACTAATGAAGAATCAGTGTTAAGATTTTGAGAGGAAAAAACGTGGTAAAAACCCACCGCTCATCTTTAGCGATTTATCGAACAAAGGCGTTTCCGTAATCAGCTATCGCTTCAGAGTGTATAACCGAAATCATCTAATTTGCAAAACCCCTAGTCTTTATACACCAGAGGCTAGAGAATTGTTACAACTGTTGTAGATGAACAATGTAAGAGCATGTATAATAGAATATTTTGAGCCATAACGGCTTAGCTTCCTAACAGTCAGGTGAACAACGTAACCTTGGTCTTGCCCTTCTAAAACAACCGCTACTTATGCTTCGTTTTAGGTTTAAACAAGAAAACAACTGTCATATTTGAAACTCCGTCTGTCTGCACTGTAATCCGCTTTGCGCTACGAAATTAGTAAAATTGTATTAACACCGTGGCGCTGTTATAAGTTTCTGACAAAAAAATAGTACTGATGTAAGTTAAATGAAGCAAAGAAAACCGTAGTTATATCGCAAGGGGTGAGTCCCACTTACCAACGTTAGTGTATTCTCATCTATCAACTAAACTAAACAAAAACCACTGAACGTACTATTCAATATCTTATTCAACAGAATAGACAAGGGTTCAACTTGCGTGCTGTCAAAGGCATTCTATTCTATGTGATAAGTGTATTCTCTGACTTTAAGTCTTATCTGGTACATTTCATGATCACTTGAAAATCACCTGGTATTTTTTTAATAGATGAGGCAGTTGTAGTCATTTCGTGGCTGAAGATAATTTAAGAAAACATTAGTGAAAATCCACTTTGCAATCACTGGTAAATTTCAAAAAGCGGCGCATAATTTCTGAAGATTAACAAGGTTTTGTCCAACGGCTGTATATGTAATGCCCTATACACAGTCTAATTGATAACGTTTTGCTTATGTTGCTCTAAAAAATATAGAGTGAAATTTGACAAACCATTCTGCACGCAAATGTTAACCTGTTTTTAGAGTTTTTCATAATAAAGACTGAAGTTTAATACTGTAGCAGTAAAAATTGATTCATAAGACTGTCATGCTTTTTCGACGACCTAAAAATACATTCACTTACTCCATTTTAAATAAAGCTTAAATAAAGGCTTCTGCTGTATTGAATCCACAAATTCGTTGTATGATATCAGCAACTAATATGGAAAATTTTTACACTGGTAAAATTTTAGGAAAATATTTATAACTGGCATAACCGTATAAGTGTAAACCTCGTTTGAATGTTAACCTGCAAACTTGTTGATTGCAGTTGATCCTTCTGGAAACCAAAAAGAAGAAAAAGTACCGCTGGCATTGATGATCAGATCAACAACACCAAGGTTTTGAAAAAAAAACGGAAGGAATCACGACTACTGAGACAGTCACAGAACTGAGTGCTGACAAGGAATACAGTTGAAATAACCAGTCACAATAATTTAGAATAAAAAACAAAATAAAAAAATTTGAAATAGGTCCCGAACAGAAGTTGCAAGATCTTGGAAACATTCCAATAAAATTTGAGCATTTACCTTTTTTTAAATTACCTTTTGAAACAGGTGATACCATCGGTGCGTTTTGTCGGGCAGAAGTTGTTAGCAAATTTGTTGGTAAAGATGAGCGTTTTGGTTTAGTGTAGGTTCCGTTAATCGGCTATTCTTCGCTTTGAATTGATGGACTGTTTTTACTCATTTTAGACTATAGCGTAAAACATGTTTGATTTATTCTACAGTTTGTTTATATTTGAATGCTGCAGTACGACGGTCTTGTAGCGAAGCAAACAGTTAAGAATTTTTTGCCAACATATGTGCAGATGTTTCTGCGACTCCTTTTTCTGGTTATTTTGCTCGATACGAACAGTAAGATGGACAGGCGCTGTTGGTTCAAATTTGTGAGCGTTTGCTCTCGATTATTCGCATGTATCAGTGCGTTGATGCCGAAATTTTAAGCACTAAAAATACTGGGACTTGTCGTTTTTAAAAAATGGCTTGTCTGCTATGAAATTTGACACTGATTTTAAAGCACATTTTTTGATGCTGTGAACATACTATGGTTGGACCTTTCCTAGATAAGTAGAAGCTCAATAAAACAATTTTCTTTTATTATTATGAGTGTTTATTTCTGTATTTGTGTTTTTGAACTTTCGCACCTGATATGTTTAAAAAATTGATTCGTATACAGCTAATGCAGTTGATGGGGACTGTTGCACTTAAATGCCTATTTCCGAACATGCTTTAATCGATCGTCAACCTTACATCGTTCTTTACATAGGAAGTTATCGACCCCACCTAATTTATCTATAAAAGTTCCAGACTTGTCTATTTTTTGCTGACTTTTTGGCGATCTACTCTAAGGAGCCACCCTAGTCTTTTTACGACTTCATAAATCGCCTTCTCTGTCAGCAGGTGATGTAATGGATAGCACGTGTAATTTGCAACCACAATTCTAGAAACTTGTGACGGATTTAAGTTCACACCTGTGCAATTCCCCTACTCACAGTTCGCGAATTTCTTGACTATTTCTGGTCTACCCGAAATTAGTTGCTTAATCAAAGTTTTGTTTGTGTCTGTAGAACTCAACAGATATTGTTAAATGGATTTATGTTATTGAGGTGTTCAAGTCTGCCTTCACTATTTCATAAACCTTTCATCAGAACGTGAGGAAAGTAATTTTGAGAAAAACTTCCGACAGAGATGAAGAGAGGTGATTTAAAATGATGAAAGATGCAATATAATTAAAGCGAGGTGATAGGAAACGGAAAGTAGTTAAAAAAAAGAACAGGGCAAAGAGTTCTTGTTAGGGTTCCACAGCTTAGGTTCCTGTCTCATCTTTGTCAGTTAGAAAGGTTTATAATGTGGTAAAAGCAGTCTTTTTTAAAACATTTTGTACCATTTATCGAGTTTCATGTACACAACTAAAAGATTGCGATCAAATAGGTATTTTTGGGCAATCCGAAAATGGTCAAAAAATGTGTGAGCTGCGAGTAGAGGAACTGAGTGGAGAGTGAATTTAAATCCCTTCCAGATTTCTAAAATACCGGTTAAAAAATGCATGCGCTAACTATTACACCAGTCGCTGACGCAGGAGCGGCGTTGTGAGATATTGGAAGGGTTAAGGTATTAGTTTGGCATTAGGCCGTTAGAAAGTTAGCAAGAACTAAGCAAACAGTCTTGAAACTTCCACAGATGAATAAGAGAGTATGAAAATCTTGTATACAAGAAGAAAATTACGATTAAATAAAGCATGTCTGGAGGTGGGCACTTTTAACTATAGTAGCGCCTAATATGTAAATTTTATGTTGAAATGACAAAGACCGTTCAAGTTGAATGTTAAAGCTAAATAATATTTTACTTAGCTTACACGATAGAAAATTAGATAAACAGAAGTTAGTTTATTATTTAGTTAACATATAATGAAGGCTGAATGGAATAAACATCATCTCTGTTCATGATTTTGTTAATTTTCGAGCTGTCCAGCAGGCTGCTGTATAGATTTTCTTTCTTTCCGTCAAACGTTTATGACTTTCGGTACCGGGAGCACAGTAAGTCGTCCTTATGGAATTTCTAAACAACTGGATGATTCGAGGTGCTTTCGCAAGTTGTGCGTCATATTCGGATGCAGTTAGATTTATCGCTTCGACTACTTGATCAGTTATATCTTTCAGCTTGACCAGTGACAAATTAGCATTGGACGCTTTTTCAATTAGACTTTCCACCTGGAAATCCTTTTGAAAGTTTTGTTGAGTTTTTTTTTTTTTTTTTT